AGCCGCAGCATCATCATCAGCGGGCACCGCCACCTAGGCCCATTTCTCCGCCGAAAATGGAGTGGAATCCTGCTATAGAGCCACCTCCCAAAACACCCCCGCCACCGTCCGCTTTTCCTGAGGATACTTATTACCCTAATATCTGGGATCAGTCGTTTGACCACTCTCGTGACACCCATCGTCATCCTGCTGCCTCGCCTTCTGCGGAAAGGGAATTTTTTACTCCTCCTCCTCCTTCCGTAATACCCGATCATCTCATCCGCGAAGGCCAGTATTCGAACGTCCTCGGTCCTTCCCCTCCCCAGGACTCTCCTGAATCCGTATCGTCGCCGCCGGCTCCGGATAAATCGAAGGTTCATGCGGTATTCCCGTGGGAAGAGAAGCCACGCCACGTTCCCAGACGAGTCTTTCCCATAACTGACCCACCTCCCCCGGTCGCCAATTTCATCGAATCTGAGCGGACGACCTCTCCCATCTCTTCGCCCCTTCCCTCTCCCAAGCGTGACGTTCCCCACGTACAGCCAGCCGGCTCGCCTCTTGCCTCACCTTGGGGCGGCGTCGGGTTCTCGAACGCCTGGGACACGGTCCCGAGTATTCAGCGCTACGCCCAGAAACTGGTTGGTTCCCCGAGGATATTCCCATTCCAGTACATGGCGTCTCCATCGCTTCCGAAGGACGACGATTGGAAACAGCAGTGGGAGAGGCAACGAGAGAAAGAGATGCAGGATAGGCATGACGCGAGTAGCATGGATGGGGACGATGAAGACGACAGCGATGAAGAGTTGGACGAAGGGGAACAGGAGGGCAGCGAGGGCGGCTCGCGTAGCAAGCGCGGTCAAGGTTCGCGCAAGAAGTCATATGCGCAGAATCCGTCCCGGAGCAAGAAAAAGTATCGCTCGCGCGGCGTTCAAGTCAAGCCTGACACTGTCGAGCAGGGTATTCAGACCATTGTTGACCCTTTAGTATGTCCCCACTGCTCGCGCCCCACTCGTGAAGCTGTCGCGGAGACAGCACCGGTGACTGCCCTCGCCTCAGCCGCTGTCGGCCTGGGCATCAAAAAGCAACGGGCCCCCGCTCCAAAACTGCTGCCTTCTGCAGTACCTCGCGACTTCCTGGCGCAGGAACAAGGCGTTGGGACACCACTTTTGCCCACTGTTGGCCGCTCGGCCGAACCGTTTCCTTCGCTCGCAACCCCTAGTGGTTTGAGATCACCTGCGACTCTGGGTTTTCCTCGCACGTACTCGCCGCCGAAGACTACTTCTCCTCGTCGAATTTCTTCTCCGCCAAAAGTTACTTCACCACCAGCGGTTTCGTCCCCGCTTCGGGGGCCGTCCTCTCCCGTGAAGACCTTTGCTCCTCAGCCTGCCCAGGCTAGACCTTCGCTTTCCCCTCAGGCGACCTCTAGACCCCCGGCTCCGCGCAAGCTGTCCTCGTCCTCTCTGACCGGCTCGGGCTCATCGAGGGCCAGCTCGCCAGTTGTCGGTCCAGCGGCCCGGATGGCTCAAACTACTCCATCCCCGAAACATACACGCTTATCTTCGCTGTCACCCGGGTTGACGCGCTCTATCTCCACCGAGACGGCGATAACACCTTCGCCTACGACGACCCATGACTCTCCCATTACCCCTGCGGACAGCACCCCTCGCAAAGGATCTCGCGTCTGGGACCCGGCCAGAGGTGTTGACGTCTTCAAGCGTGGTTCAGAGGAGGTCTTGGCCCGCTTCCTGCGGATGGGTTCGTTCGAAGAAGAAAACAAGCAACGTCAAGCCGTCTAAATTATGAAATATTTTCATTTCTTCCTTCCCCCAATCCTTACTTTCACCGGGACGGTCTTCCCTTGCATAGCCCGTGTCCTCCCCATTTGCACTGATTACCCCTTGCACGACGTGTTTCCTCTCGTTCCATTAGATATCCTCAATTCGTTCATTCTCCACGACATGATTCTGGCTTGACGCAATACGCAATGTTGTCTACCGTCCGTTGTCCTGCTGCATGCAAATTTCCCATGACCATGTAGATACCCTTCGACCTTCCCCTCTCTTCTGTTGTTTTCAGTACATACAATTCTGTGCCTCACACCATCACTACTGTTTCCACAATGGATGTCGCGAATTTCCCTGAATCCTCGGTTGCGCGCCTGGTGACGTCATCGAATAGGAACCGCCGCGACGGCCGGGTCTCGCAGGCGCTGCAGGCACTTGGGCGGGGCGGGCGTCGTCGCCACACGCAGATGACGCACGGAGCCACTTGCCATGCTTCAGGTGGGGTATACCCAGCAATATATAAGATGGACGCGTAAGTTTTACTCCCTTCACAAAGTCACGAAATTCACACTCACATCTGAACGCACCAACCTCTCCTCGAATTTATTATCATCGACTCATCTTACAACAATGGCCTCTGCCACTGGACCGTATGTCGCGTCGCTTCCGCTAGTTCACAACAGAGTCTCATCACATTATTTCAGATCTGATGCTCGCTTCGAGACCACCGCTGCGTGGCAAGCGGCCGAAACTTCCAGCACCCAGCTGCAGAGCGAGGTAGAGAGGAACGCGCAGCAAGCGCATCAGGTTGCTGAGCAGGCAGCAAATTCTGCTCAGGTACGTCGAGCAGTCCTACTGCGCAATGTACCTGTCTGATATGATCGCAGTTTAAGCAAGTATCCACGGGGGTTGCCGTCGAAAGGCTAGAGGAAGGCCTCAGCGTGAAGACCAACGACGCCGTCGCTGAGGGCCAGTCTAATGTCGCGTCCGCAACGTCAGCAGCTGGCAGCTACGTGCAGCAGGCCCGCGAAATCGTTGGCGGTGCTATGGTTACTGCTGCTGTAAGTGCTGGTGACCCGATGTGCTCCCGCAGCCTTTACTGACTGTCTTCTAGTCGTATCTCCCGTCTTCTGTCCCCGGCTCCACTGCTTCTTCCACCGACACAGAAGGCAACCCTATTGCTGGCAACACTGTCGCATCCAGCCTCCAATCCGCTGCAGGCGCTGCAGTCGAGGCTGCCAAGACTGCTTTGTCCGCCGCGCAGCCTCATGTAGAGAGGCTCGCGACCGCTGCCCGCTCTACTGCAGAAGCTGCGACGCAGTCCGCTTACCAAGCGACCGGCGCTGGTCAAGCTTCTTCCAAGCCAGAGCCCGTCCAGCCAACCACTGCTCCGCTCGAGTCCAGCGGCGGTGTTGTCGGAGGGCCCTACCCCGCAACGACCACAAACGGCAAGTCAAATGTGGCGTCGGTGTAAAGGCAGAGAATATTTGGGATGATTGACCGTTTCATGTAACGATACCCGGATCCCATTTAATGTACAAATTACTTCTATCAGATTATAATGACTGATTTGTGGTATGACTCCGCAGATGGTGCTTATAATATTAGCTTCGCGTCCTCGATGCTTCATGGACGCCTCACTAGAGCTTGGCAGTTACAAATTAGCGCCTATAAAGGCCTTGTGGCGTTCGGTTATCCCAAACCCGATCTTGAGTATCAGTATGAGGCTCCCTATTTGTACAAGCCGGTCGCGCCATAGTCATAAACACCGCAGTGGCGGGAGAAATCCAGGGTAAAAACACCATACAGCTGGTAGGTCTCTTCCGCGGGAATTTCTGCAATCCGAGCTCTTCTGCGTCCTCAAAGTGCTCTTTGAGATAACTTGCTGTCACGGATGGTGAGACGCTGCGGCCCTGGGACTAACGGTCCAAGCGCGACTACATATACATGTCGTTGCATTAAGCCAGTGCGCGACAATTCTAGTGTACAGAGGGCTACAGTTGTGCACTCTCACATCTGAATGAATACCATTAACTTTCATACGACGGAATGCGCAGACTAAGGCCAGTGTTTTGGGTCAACGAAGTCAGCTACTATCCTATGAATTCAATATGCAGCCTTTGTCCGATGTCTGACAGCTGAGAGGAAATCGCTTTCTCCACAAGGATTTGGCCATCTCGTTTCCTATCGCCTTCATCTACAATGGTGAACGTGACTTTCTCGAGGTTCTTGAGTCTTTGGA